TTCCCCGGTTGTCACTCTGCCTGCATGTCAGTCTCTCTGTTTCCCTCTGCTCACTGTCTCTCTCTCTCTCTGCCTGCCTCGTTAGTCTAATGTCTGTACCTGTGTTGCTCCCGCCCTGCTCGTTAGTCCCTGTGTATATATACCTGGTGTTTCTGTCTTGTCCTTGTCGGATCATTGTATGTTGTCACCTTGAGTTGCAGTGTGTGTTTCTTGTTGCGTCTCCATGTTTCCCTGCTCGTTTTGGTTTTCTGTTGGACAACCTTTGTTTTGGACTTAGTCTTTCAGCCACTCGGTTTGTAAGTGTGCTCACCTTTTGTTTAATTAAAACCCTCGAACTATACCTGCTCCATTCTGTGTCCTGCGTTTGGGTCCTCCAACCTGCTTCACCACACCACTTACCGTGACACCTTTGACATGTTGTTTGAAGTTAAAAGAAGTGGCCATATTTAAAAAGTCAGTTGCAATAACATTTGTGAGGTCATCACCATGAATATTAAAATCGCCACAAAGAACAATTCTGTCATAATTTAAAACCAGAGTAGATAAAAATTCAGGAAGGTTCCTCCAGGCGGTTTTGGGGGGCGATAAAATATAACAAATATGATAGGTTGCAGCCCTCCAACTTTAAGAGTGAGAACTTCAAAGGAGTTAAATTCATCACAGCGTACTTGATGACATTTTAAATTTTTCCTATACAGGCTCACTAGCCCACCACCATGACCACTGACCCTCGGTTGACTAAAACAATCATATTGAGGCGGACACAGTTCAGCTAGCTGGCTATAGTCATTCATCTGCAACCAGGATTCAGTTAAAAACATAAAATCTAGATTTGCAGACAAGATAAAATCATTTAAGATAAAAGTCTTACCTGAAAGTGATCTCACATTGAAGAGAGCCATTTTAAATGAGTTTGTTCTGGGTGCTGGAGTTGGTGCAGTTGTCCTAATTTTTAGAGAGATTTAGAGATTACTATTATTTCTGTGTGGGATGTGCACGTTTCGGTTTACTGGTCTATGCGTGATGATGACAGGAATAGAAGTCTTTGGAACAGCGCTGGAAGCAGATGGCTTTACATGCCAGTAGGTGGAGACAGTTGTTTGTGGCAGTGAGGCAGAGTTCTGTTCAGTGTCTGGTGTGTCCAGGTGTGCTGCATGAATGATTAGTCATTCACGTAAGTCATGTGTGGACTGCACTACATGCTGTGTGTGAGCAGCTAACTTTTCTGAGCCCCGTTTGTTTGGGTGAAGTTCGTCTGTCTTAAAAAGAGACATTCTTATCCGTCGAAAGAGATACGTACAGGGAGACTCGAAGCCGCAGGTGCATCCGCTGGATGGACCGGAGCGTCATCAGACAGGGCTGCATAGCGGTTGGAGAGGCTGATGTGCGGAGGAGAGCCCCGTCCGAGCCTCTCTTGCAGCCACGGACCACCACTTCAGCCCAGGTTGACTGATGCTTCGGAATCGAGCAAGAGGAAAGCCATGGAAGGGTAGAGGGTCCCATAGCATGGTGTCCTGGATGTTAGCGGTTGCGCAAAGAGAAACAATCTGTTTGGCTTGTACTGAAGCCACATCCATAAAGCCAGTCAGCAGGGAATCTTTCTCTTTGAGTTCCTTTGAAAGTCGTTGGATGTCTTCCATAAGGTCAGCAATCTTTTTGTTCGCTTTCTTAAGGAGTGTGCAGTCCTCATGTGGCAGAGTTATCTCAGCTAGCATAGTCACCAGAGCTTTGTTGTGGTCAGTAGCGTTGATGGAGTTTTTACGGTCATCTAACTTAAAATCCATGTCGGATAACTAAAATCCTTAACCCACGTAAAACTTAAGTTAAAAAGTTAAGTTAAATAAAAAGGATATAAAAAATGTAACAAAAGTGTGGATTAAAACTGGATAAGAGTCCGGTTTAAGATGGAGCTTCTGACAGGTGGCTACAGACGCCAACGCATGCGCAGAGTGCAAATTACGTCAGCGATCTTGTAGTATGTAGGTTTCTTCCCAATACACTGACAGTAAACCTACACACAACTAGTAGGACAAATACTGGGACTATTGAGACCTCATGTCTGCTTCGGCTAAACTTTAAACAGCATTTTGCAGAGACAGGAGAGGTGACTACAGGGACCAATGATTCTTTCAGCGCTCTGTCGTCATGCTTTTTGTGACGTGCTGTGATTTTGGTTGTTTGGTGTTTTTTGCTGTGCTTACCGCTTTAATGGATTAGGAGTAATTCACCATGTAAATGTCTGTATTTTCACTCAATGTCATAGTCACTACACATTTTCTCTCTTACCATGTCGGGAACCTGCAGCACAGCTTATCAAGTGGAGAGCAGATGGATCAGATAAATAATGACTAGCTATTTTATGTTATAACTGTTCTATTTCTATATATGTTCTTCTCCAGATGCTCCAAAGCTTCCCTCTGTGTCAGTGAGTCCCTCTGCTGAGATAGTGGAGGGCAGTTTGACTCTGACCTGTAGCAGTGATGCTAACCCAGCAGCTAATTATACCTGGTACAAGGAGAATGAAGACTCACCAAAAGCATCAGGACAGAACTTCACCATCACTGACTTCAGAGCTGAACACAGTGGGAAATTATTACTGTGAAGCCCAGAACAGAAGAGGGCGTCATAACTCCACCTTACATCTGATTTTTGTGGCAGGTACGTTTCTCCTTGCCACTAATTGGCTGATTAATAGAAGAGCATCACCTGGCAAACTGATCCAGCACAGTTTATCTAATAACTTTCTATCTCCATTTCTAGAGAAATCATCAGTGATAAGAATTATCAAGTTGATTCTGGTGGTTGTGATGCCAATTGCTCTACTTCTGTTTTGTCTGAGGTGAAACTATAAGAATGAATCAGTTCCATCACTGACATTTACTATGAATATTTACTTTCATAGTTTTGGAGTTATCAATTAAACTTTTTATTTATTTGTTTTTTGATTCAATTCAGGAAGAAGAAAACTCTGAGCTCCACTGCTGAACCAAATGAACAGATAGAGACTATAGAGGTGAGAAAGCTGTTGGGCCACAGTGACAAAACTTACTCTGGGTTATAATTTGTTGGCTTATACATTCATTTTAAAATAAAACCTAATTGCTCTAATTCCATTTATGAAGCCTTTAACTCTGATCTTGTTTTCCCTTCCCGTCAGTTGATGTCTGGTCCTGATTGTACCAACGCCTCAGCCTTGAACCAAAACTGTATGTGACTTTCTTCAGATGGAGTCAAACCAGAGGGGACTCACCTGGATCGGAACAAAGAAAAGCCACTGAAGTAGTCCAGTGTAGAACGAGGGAAGGTGGAGGAAGTTGATACATTTACCTTCAAGGAAAGTTTTCATTTTTAGTTTTTATTAGCAGCAGCATATATTTTTACCTGTGCAGGTACATTACATACGCTCAGTATTTAACTCAGTATGTAAAATATTATTTAAAGTTTTAATGTAATAAATAGTTTTTAAGAAATACTGGTTGCCCTTTCACGTCACACCTGTCCTGGTAATGAAAGCCAATAAAGTCTGTTCAAAACAAACACATTGAACAGGACATATCTCACAGCATGTACTGTCTGTATTTAAACACTGAAATCAAACAGAAGCCCAGCTCTGTCACACTTTGCAAGTGTTTCATTTTCAAATTGTTGCAGCCAGCTTCCACAACAACTCTGCAGTTTGATCATCATTTCAGTTTCCTCTCACTGCTGTAGAGGGTGACAGTGTGCAGGAAGTTTTAGATTTCAGCTTTAAACAAACTGCTTGTGTTTATCATTCAGAACAAAGTTTGTATTTATCAGTAATCAACAAAAATACAATTTCTCAAATGTTTGTAGGGGTCAGGGTAATTTCTTTGGTTTAAAAAAACAGTTTCAAAAATACACCTATCAGCCGTAATGTTATGACCACTTACAGGTGATGCGAATAACACCGATTATCTCGTTACCATGGCACCTGTCAGTGGGTGTGATATATCAGGCAGCAGGTAAACACTTTGTCTCATAGTTGATGTGCTACAAGCAGGAAAAATTGGCTGTGTAACGCCTCATGTCTCTGAACAGTGCTGCTGAAAATGACATGATGTGGACGAGTTTCTTAAGTGTTAAATATATATAATATAATGGCGGTTTTATTCGTCCGCTTTATTATACACTGTACTTAGACTTTACAAATTCTAACTTTTTGTGTCATGATTATACATAAGATCAATCCAGGTTGTTGAGGGACTTTCCTTGCTCTGTAACGTCACAAAACATTAACAATGACTTTGATGTGTCATTATCACACTGTCTGAGGCCAAACCATTCTGAGTTACAGTACTTTGTATGAGATCATTAGAATAAGAAATCCAATTGTATGGTCTGGCTTAGTGTTTATAGATGTGACCTCTTTTTGAACATGTATTTCTTATGTGGGGACTAGGCCTGAAGGTTAATCATCAAGTTCACCTTGTCAGCTTTTGTATTTGACCTGTGAGATCTCTTAATACAGTCTCCAGACTCTACAGGCATCAATGCAACACATTCTTTTCATGTCTGAAAGTTTTCTTCTTGTAGATGTTAATTAGTCATTACAAACTGAATAAGAGCTGCATGTTATCATCACAAACACTGAGTATTGGGAATGTATTCTTTGTATCCAATGGATTTTTGTTATTTTAAGTAATAAGAACTATATTTTGCATCCATATTTTTATAATTTGATAGTTCAAAGATCCTGCACACCTGTATGGGTATGTAAGGCCTTCAATGAATAATAAAGTCTCTACTACTGACTGACAGTTGATGATTAGCTGCCACAGCTTCACTAAGGACCTATTTCCTCGTTTCTTCTTTCCTTGCATGTTTTCCTTGCGACAACTTCCACCAGCTTTGTGTCAAGGCCTGCCCCTACTCTCCCCCTACTCTGTCTCCGATTGGCAACAAGAACAATCCAATCAGAGCTGTCAGAAAGCTGGTGGGGGGGGATGACGCTTTCTTCGCGTCTCTCCATGCATCTAACATGGGAAAAACTGAGACGCAATGAAAAGATGCAAAAGATCAGAATCAGAATCAGAACCAGTTTTATTCCCCAGGTATGTGTACACATCTGAGGAATTTGACTTTGGATTGTACATTGCTCACAATTTGCTTACTCATAAAATAATACAATAACAGAATAATAAAATCAGACACAGGCTACAGTATAGAGAACACAGATATACACACTATAAACAGATACAAAAACAGTATAGACACATTGACAAATAGTGCAGTGAGCAGAGTGCAAAGGATCCAGGAGTAAACTTGTTATTATCATTAATTATGTACATGTCGGAAGTGGGTTTGATATGCAGGTACACATACATGCATACATGTACACAGTGCGATGGAGCACAGTGCAAAGGATACTGGAATAAATAAGTACATATTTTGTGCAAGTATTATGAACGTGAGGAAGCTGGGTGCACAGGAATTGTTCTGACACTATGAGTCAGAAATCAGCTGTTCATCTGAGTGATGGCTTGTAGGAAGAAACTGTTCCTGAGTCTGTTGGTTTTGGTGTAGCGCCTACCAGAGGGGAGAAGTTGGAACAGCTTGTGTCCGGGGTGAGATGGATCTGCAGTGATGTTTCCTGCCCGTTTCTTGACTCTGGAAATGTATAAATCCTGAATGGGGGGGCAGGTTGGCACCGATGATCTTTTCTGCAGCCCTGACTCTCCGTTGTAGTCTGCCCCTGTCCTTTTTGGTGGCAGATCCAAACCAGACAGTGATGGAGGTGGTGCAGAGGACAGACTGGATGATGGCTGTGTAGAAGTGGATCAGCAGCTCCGTAGGCAGGTTGAGCTTCCTGAGCTGGCGCATCCTCTGCTGGGCCTTCTTGATGATGGTGTCAGTGTTGGGTTTTCTTTGTCCAATTAGCCACCACCCTTTTCCTGTCTACGTGACTACTGTCACATAGCTTGATCATTCTTTTGGGCCAGAGATTCAGTTGGGCCAGAGATGTCCTTGTTTGGCCATTTCCTTTCCCCTTGCTGACCCTTCTCTTCCAATGACTCATAGTCATAAGACCGTTACACCCATCTCAGTATTTCACAGTCAACTCAACATTTCTCAACATGTTCCTTCACTTCTCTTATTCTTTACACACACACATTTTAATCAATACTATAGAAATCATGATCTTCTTCATTTCATTTTGTAGTTAATCATATTCTTTTCATTTCTTAGTTGATTACATTACGGTTGTTACATCAATACACTACATGTGGTACTTCTACACAATCAGTTGGAAAGTACCTGTACCTACAGTTCCATGGCTGTAGTGAGCCATTGTTTGGTTATCATAGAGCGCTGGGATCTCAACCTATTTTAGTCCAATATTTAGATGTCTGTGAAGGTTCTCAGTCATCCCGGTCATAGTTATCCAACAAAGGTTGAGGTCAAGGGCAACTGGACTTGGTTGAAGATACTAGAAGACGTTTTGTCCCTCATCCAGTGACTTCTTCAGTTCCCCTTCGAGGGAACTCGAACTGTGTCAGTTACGACACTGTGGGAACGCCTCTAGGCGTAGCAGGTCTGAACGTGAATGAAATCACTCCAATCCTATTGGTTTGTTGCTAGAACGGTAAGGTGTGACGGAATAACCGGAGGAGTATAAAGCACACCTGTACACACTCATCATTAGCTTTTTTCTATTCAGCAGGCGCTCTGTATGTTGTTTGAAGAAAGCTCCAGTCCTACAAGCAGTGTGTCTTACCTGAAGAAGAAGTCTACCAGCATGTCCGGCAACCAGAAGTACCGAAGGTGTGTTTTTCCTTGCCCTTGGTACATCACGGATGGAGATTCTCATGAGATGTGTGTCTCATGTTTGGCGATGGAGCACGCCCGGGCAGCTCTCGAGGGGGCTGCCTGTGGCCATTGTGAAGCCCTTTCCGTGCGGGTACTGAGGTCCCGCATGGCTCTCTTTTCCGAGGATGGCCGGATGTGTTCTCCCCGAGGTGTGGGCCCTGAGGCCGCTGAGGCAGCCCGGCGGCTTCACTCATGTTGTTCACAGCGTGATCTGTCGGAGGATTTCGGGACAGCTGAGGCTTTTTCCCGACCTTCATCCGCTGGCTCCGACGCTTCCTTTCGGGAGCCCGTTCTCGGCTTCTCCCACTCGCTGTTTGGATCCGGAGACGCTGTAGCAACGTGCTCAGCGTAGTGGACGATGACTTCCAGATGTCGGGGCGGCGTCATCTGCTGGAGGTGGTGACTAGAGCCGTGGCTAAGCTCAACATCAACTGGCCACAGGAGGAGCAGACACCACAGGCTAGTGGTAAGCTTGATGAAAGGTTTCTTAAGCACCACGTGCCACCTCCACGCCAGTCTCTACCATTCTTTCCTGATTTACATGATGAACTGAGTAAATCATGGGGCAGACCCTTCTCTACACGGCTCAGGGAAGAGGTCCTGAAGACCGGGGTAGGGGAGTCTTTTCTCCCCTACAGTTCAAAACCCGCCCTCCAAAATTCAACGGGGTGGTTTGGACTGTGGTCCGCCTGGAGCAAGGTGTTGGGACACGAAGTTCTTACTCTGCTGAGGAAAGGGGCCGTGGAACGTGTTTCCCCCCCAGAGAGAGACGCCGGGTTCTACAGCCGTACTTCATAGTCCCCAAGAAGGACGGATCTGGTTGGTTCTAACCGGTCTCTGAGGAGATTCAGGTTCAAGATGCTCACCATCCCCGCCATCGTGACGCACATCTAATCCGAGGATTGGTTCGTCACGATAGATCTAAAGGACGCCTATTTCCACGTCTCCATCCGTCCTTCTCACAGGAAGTTCCTGAGGTTCGCCTTCGGGGGTGTGGCTTACCAGTATCAGGTTCTTCCATTCGGCCTGGCAATTTCCCCTCACACATTCACCAAGTGTATGGATGCAGCACTGGCCCCGCTGAGGCTCCAGGGCATCCGGATTTTCAACTACATCAACGACTGGCTCATCCTAGCCCAGTCTCGAAAGTTGCCGGTTCGGCATTGAGATGTCGTTCTGGCTTATCTGTTGCATTTAGGGCTAAGGCTCAACGCAAAGAAGAGTGTGCTGGCGCCCACCCAACGGACTACGTTCTTAGGGGTAGTATGGGATTCAATAACGATGCGGGCACAATTGTCTCCCGCACGTGTTGACACCATATTGGCTGCCGTGAAAGGGGTGAAGTTAGGCCACGCCATCACTATAAAACACTTTCAACGAGTGTTGGGTCTCCTGGCGGCTGCGACTCGGTCCAAGGTTCCCACTTGGGATCTGGTGGTGGTTCTTGGGGCATTGGCTGAGGCCCCCTTCGAACCCCTGGAGTCAGCTGAGGCTAAGCACTTGACCCTCAAGATGGCCTTTCTCCTTGTTATCACCTCTCTGAGGAGGGTGGGGGATCTCCAAGCGCTTTCGGTTCCCCGCAAAGCCTGGAGTTTGCCCTGGGGAATATTAGGGCTATCCTGCACCCTCGTCCAGGATACATCCCTAAAGTGCCTTCTTGTGCAGCAGGGTCCACAGTGCTGCAGGCATTTCATTGCCTCTTTGCAGGATGTTTGTGTAGTGGCTGGCTGGACGACTCCGCACACATTCATTTGATTTTAAAGTCTTGACCTTCCTTCGGCACCTGGCACTCGTGCGCTCTCCTCTTAGTCGTGCCACTTTATTGCACACTGGGGCAGGCGGGGTTTTCGGCACGGTTTAGTAGGTATCTCGTTCCCGACGCAGTTCGAGATCCCTCGAAGGGGAACGTCTAGGGTTACGTATGTAACCCTGGTTCCCCGAGAAGGGGAACGAGACACTGCGTCGGCCCGCCGCACCTCTCTCCCCGCCTGAAGCGCCTGCTTCATAGTTTAAGCTAATGATGAGTGTGTACAGGTTTGCTTTATACTCCTCCGGTTATTCCGTCACACCTTACCGTTCTAGCAACAAACCAATAGGATTGGAGTGATTTCATTCACGTTCAGACCTGATTTCATTCACGTTCAGACCTGTTCCCATAGTGTCGTAACCGACGCAGTGTTGCGTTCCCCTTCTCGGGGAACCAGGGTTACATACGTAACCCGAGACGTTCTGACTGACTGGTAGGGACACTCAGCCATTTAACCTCTATGGGATCGTTAGCTAAGATCATTGATACCGCTGGTTCATTACTGCTCCTCGCTGTGGTAACGACTCTCGTCATAGTTAGAGCCACCCGTGGCCAAGTCTGAACGACCATCATTGGCAACTTTACCTGAGGCCAAGAGGGAATGCTTGTTCAGTTTCCTGGGAAGTGATGAAAGTGATGGTGTAGACCCCCTCTGTAGAATCCTCCGTTGTATTGGAAATAGGTTGTGTTTAGACAGAGATCAAATAATTTATTGATCTGGTCAGGGCTGAGGTTGGTTCTGCTGTCCAGGCTGTGGTCTTGAAGTAGCCGTTTCCTTATGAATTGTATTGC